TCTCTAGAAATCAGTGAAAGCATATCCTCGGGTGAGGATTAAAAGAATTAAAACTTGTCCGTTTCTTAAAAGGCTGAGCATTTTCTTTCAGTGGAAAGGGGGAAAAAAAAGGCATCAACAAATTAGTTCCAGCGGGCCTTCCCACTGTTACAATCAATCCCAAACCTAAATGGGAGGAGGCAAGGCCTGACTTAGCAAACGCACCTTCTGAGTCGGCCTTACCTGTCCCCCCTGCGGGGACTGGGCTGGAGTTGGGGAGGGGGTAGGCCCCGGGGCAGCCTGGTGATCTGCCATCTGCTGCCACCGGGGGATGCTCAGTGGATGTGAAGCTTGGCCTTCGGGAGCTCCTCCGAGGTATTCGCTGGGACACCGGAGCTCCCGTTAGGCAGAACAGGACTTGCCGACACCCAGGAAGATGCTCGGTGCCCACTGGCCAGGGCAGGCGGCTACTGCCTGTGAGCGCGGCCGTGCCGAGCCCCATGGCTGTGTCCCCGCGTCAGGAGGAAGCGTAAGAGAGGTCAGGAGTGAAGCTGTGCGTTTCCTTTTAGAGAACTGGCAGCTTGTAGCCCATATTCAGTGGTCTTACTCTATCCCTCCCCCGGCCTTGGCCTACATAGTTCAGCAGGAACACATGGCTGTCTTAAGGGATGATCTCGGATTTAATAAAGTGAAGCAAACACGTGACCTGACCATTTGGACCGTTAGCGACGTGCCTGCTGGAGCCCACCCGGGTGCCTTCTGAGTGAGGGGAGTCGCATGGACCCCTGACTGTGTGGATGTCTAAGCGGGAGAGCCGTGGTCAAACCCCGGGCCGGGGAATCAGATGGGAGCGTGTGCTTGGAGCCTGAGCTTTCCCAGCCCAGGGGAGGCTCTCGGGTCACAGCACATCTGCATCCTAGAGCAGAGGTGAGTGTGGATGGCGAGCGGTTTCTTCGTCTGGTTATTTCCCAGGTCTTTGCTCTTAAAAGAAGGGCCTAAAGGCAAGAGGATGAGAAGTCGGTGCCGGAGAAGCACAGAGACAAAGCTGGCCTCTAGGGGGTGCCTAGAAGCAGCGTAGGGAAGACTGGCACCCTCCAGGGTGAAGCGGGCCTTGGCAAGGCCTCCCGCAGACTGCCCGCACCTGTCCCGCAGTCTCTGCGGGGGGGGGGGGGGGGGGGGTGTGTTTCCTGGGCCAGTCCGAACGCCTTTCTTTTCTCATGCTCCTCTGCCTTGGGAAACTTTCAGGCCAGTGAGGAAAAGTTCCATGGGAAGGAGGTCACCCCTGTCAGTCAGGGGTGGCGAAGGTCCGGCCTGGGGGCTGCATAAGGGCTGTGAAAGCATTGGGTCTGGCCCTGCCGAGGCATTAAGGGTGAGCTGATTAAGTATCTGACCAGATACAGCAGGTTGATTTTTGTACATAGCAGTCGATAGTTTTGTATGGCCCTCGTTCATGTTATAAATATCCAATGGCCCTTGGCAGGAAAAAGGTCCACCCTTGGTGTAATATACCAGATTGGAAGAGAGAGTTCCTAGGAATAAGCAGCAAATTTGGATCAGATTGAAATTCTGAATACATTTGTGGGAACTTGGTTTTATATTCCATTTATGTCTGTAAATCGTTCCTATTAAAGTCAACTCACCAGAGGAGGGACAGAGACGTCATCAAAGAGCTTCTGTCAGTCACCATCGTTGTTTTGCCACCAAGCTTCTCCCCCCTGGACCCCCCTCCCCATTTCTACTTGCCCAGCCTGACCCATCCCATCCTGTCCTGTCCCGTCCAGGGGGCGGCTGGACCCACAGGAGCTCCGCTTGGCTTGGCAGTGGAGTTTCCTGAGGGACCAGGTGTTTATTTTTGGTCATTGTTTTTAAAGGTATCACAGCTGCTACTTTTGATATCAAATACTTGCCTATAATCCCAATCAAAGCATTTGCCATCAATGAAAACAAAGACCCCCTCTCCTAGTGTAATTATAATAAAACTAGAGGCCCAGTGTATGAAACTCATGCGTGGGTACGGTCCCTAGTCCTGGCCTGCGATCAGGGCCATCTTCCCTGGCTGCCTGCAGCCGGCCCTGCCCCCGTCACCACCCACCCCCAGTTCCCTGTTTGCCATCGGGTGATTGGTGCCTGACAGCCAGGGTAAGGGACCGAGAGGTCAGCTGTTCCCGTCTACTCGCCAGCCCTGCCCCCACCACAGGTCACCCTCTGTATGTGGGGTGACCAGTGGGGTGGGGACCTTGGCCTGGTCCTGTCCACGTCTCCCACCACTCAACCCCAGTTCCCCTTTTGTCATCAGGTGATTGGAGCTTGCCCGCTGGAGCAAAGTACCAAGAGGTGGTCAGTACACCTCACAGTGATTGGTCCAGCAGTCGTTCCGATCATGCCATTGTTAGGGTCAATTTGTATAATTACCCTTTTATTATATAGGATAGAGGCCTGGTGTATGGGTGGGGGCCCTGGATTGGGGTGAGGGTCCCTGCCGGGGGGTGGGGCTGGCCTGGGCATGGGGCAGTGGTCGTTCTGGTCTCTGGTTGCTCCGCCATTTCGCTGGGCTTTTATTATATAGGATGTGAATCCACACAAGTAGCCTGTTCGTCTCCACATACTCATTCAAAAGGAAACCTTCGGCATCATACTGTTAAGAATCTATAGATCTGAGCCAATGTTAACATATACTTTTTTTTTTATTAAATATGTAAAAAGATAACCGCAAGTCCAAGTTATTCACATAATCAGCAACAAAAGGCTATTCTACCATGCGACAACGTGGGCAATGTAAAACGAATGTGATACATCTGAATAAGACTCTTCCTCTATTATGTCCTTACTTAGCTCTATTTATACTGAACAATACATCTGTTTACATTCCTTTCAGTTTACATTTCATATATAACCAAAGCTTTCCGGTGTACTACGCAGTAAAGTGATCTGAATGCATATAGACCTTGATGGAAGAGTGGCGATACTCACCAGGGAAGGGGTCCTTGGCTCCCTTCTGGGGTGGACTTCTCTCGGGTCAACAGGGTGTTTGTCTTTTCTGCTCAGCAGACAGGCTCTTGGCCCCCGGCTTCGGTCACTTCCTGTCTGACACGAGTAGCGGAAGTGCTATGACCAGCACTGTGGGTGTGGGGGGAGGAGCAGGGTGCACACCAAGGGTGACTACTCGGCCAGCCCGGCGAGGGAGAGGGAATGAGGGGGCACAGCCATCGGGAGGAAGGAGCAGGCCTGGCCCACGAGAGGTGGCCTACACAGAGCTGGGGTGCAGCCACAGGCCTGGGAACCAGCTGTTCCAGGGTCCCCCGGTCTCTGTGAGGGACCAGGAGGAGGGATTCACAGCTCTTTCCTACATGGACGAAGAATGTGCTCCCAGACCTGGGGAGGGGAGGGGAGTATGGTGGCCGGGGAAAGCCATCTTTGCACATACTCTGGCCAGCGTGCTGCTAGCAGAGCAGGCTGAGCTGAGGGGTAGACGGTGCGGGTGCCGGCGGCGAGGCTGATGCAGGTGGCACGCCATGGCGTGCACCGGCCTGTGTCTGCAGGGCCGGCAGGAAGCTCGATAGGAATCCCTGACGTCATCTGTGTACAAGTGTGTGTGTGTGTGTGGGGGGGAGGGGGGGCACTAGGCATGAGCTGCACATAGCACAGCCGCCACCTGTAAGCAGGGGGACGTCACTGCTGAGAGCCAGGCCGCAGCCAGAGCGAGCAGGAGAGAAGGGGGAGTCCAGTCGCCACGGAGCCTGTCCAGTCCTCACAGTGTGCTCCGGCGTCCCCTCCGCCGCGCCCGCCGCCGAGGAGGGTCCTCCGGGAGGGCCGAGTGGGTGGGGCCGTCGGAGCGGCGTCCGGCGTTTCACCAATAAAGAAGTGCCAGCGCTTTAGGATACACAGTTGAGAAATTTATTGTAAGCTTTTCAGTGAAGAGGAAAGTGGGTGGGCACACTTGTCTGCTGTTTTGGTTGCACCTGCCGAGTCAATACCAAGCGAAGGTAAACCTAGAGTTAGGGACCGAGTGCAGTGAATGATCCGGGAAGGGAAACCATCTCTCAGGAAAAAAAAAAAAGGAGGCAAAGGTTTGGAAAGACACTAAGAAAATGTGCAAATCTTAGTTAAAAAAAAAAAAAAAAAAGGAATGCTTCTCATTCATCAGTTTCCTCGGTTTTGAACCCCCCAGTCTAGCGGAGGGCAGTGGCATGGAGGCTGCCGTATGAAGGGGAATCCCTCTTCCAGAAGGTTCCCGTCAACCTCGGCCGGAGCCCTCCGTGAACCGCCCCTGCCCGCACACGAGGCCCTCCCTCCAGCAGGTGCGTGGCACCCGCCCTCGGGGCTGCAGCCGCCCTGGAGCGGGGACCCCGCTGAGCCCTCGGGGCGCAGAGCTGATGACGGCTGCGGGGGGGCGGCTGCCCGCCAAGGGGACCCTGAGAAAGAAAACGCATGAGAACCCGGGTGGGGCGGGGGTGGGCAGGCGGTTCGCGGGCCAAGGGGAGGCTGTTTCTAGAGACGTCGCTCAAGGAGAACCAGCGGGGCAGGCGCGGTGCCCGGCACGGTGCGGGCCGAGGGCCCGGCTGTGCTCTGTCCTTCCCTCCCCTCCCCTCCGTGCCGTCCTAGGAAACGGGCCAATGTCGTTATGGCTTTCGTATCAATCTCTTTCCCTTTGTCCCGTTTATTATTTTTACCAGATTCATGTCAGAGGTCAGACTCACAAACACCAAAGCACCACTGTGTGTGACATCTAGTGACACGGGGTGAGAAACGCCAATATAAATACCAAATATCAAGTTACCATTGTTCCACACCGGGGGTGGGGGGGGGGCGGCGGGTGGGGGGAAATGAGGAGACAGAACCAATCCCGTGCCCAAGCGGGGCGTGTGCCAGGCGGCGGCGGCGGCGGCTCTGGGTCTTGGCGGCGGCGGAGGGCGGAGCCGTGCGGCGCTGTGCCCGCAGTCCCTGGCGCCGGAGGCCGCCAGCTCCAGTTCTCCGGAGGCAAAGTCCCCACGCGACACGGGGTGTCGGCGGCAGCGCGGGCGTCAGTACTCCTCCTGCTGCGGGGGCTGCTCGTGCGCCTGCTCGTCCGCTTCGGGCTCTTCGGGGGGGCCCTCCTGCGGGCGGGGGAAGGGGGGGCGTGAGCTGAGACAGCCCAGGCCGGAGCAGGTGCCCCCCTCCCTCGGAGGCCTGCTGCCGCTCCGGCGGAGAGCTCTCCCGCGCTCCGCTCCAGGAACACAGTAGCATGACATCGGGGGCCCCGGAGGGTCCGACACTGACAGCGGCACAGGCCTGCACCAGCCGCCCGGCCCTGGCCTCTCCTGAGCACCAGTCTCACCAGGGCTCCCTGGGCCTGCCGCTTGCAGGGAGCCCTGCTGAGACTGGTGCTCAGCTCCCACAGGCTCCGATCCAGAGAGGCCAGGGCTTCCAGTGAGCATCACTTCTGCTTGTTCGCGGGCCGGAATCCAGACAGCAGCACGCTCGTGCATGCGTGCGTGCGTGTGTGTGTGTGTGTGTGTGTGACGATGGGGAGGGGGCCCTGCGGGTGGTGGTGTGAAGAGCAGAGAGGAGCTGAGTGGAGTCCTTGGACAGACTCCCTTGAAATCAACCCAGGTGGCAAGACTCTGGGTCGAGGCCCGTCCTGCCTGCCCTGAGCTACGCACTCTGGCCACAGCGGCCCTAAGCTTGGAGTTCCCCTGACGGGTTCCCACACCAGGACGTCGGCTGGGACAGGATCTGGCGCTTCCTCCCGCGGAGAGTGTCCACGCCTCAGCCCCACTCGCTCGGATGCCCAGGGCCGGGCCCACCTCCAACAGCCTGTGATGATGACGGCCCAACCGGCCGTCCTGAGAGCTGCCAGCGCTCTGCGCCCAGGACCCTGCCCACTGCACAGGGGCTGGGGGGGGGAGGGGGGCTGCTTCCGGACGGGTCGCTGTGAGCACTGGTGAGGCCAGCGCAGCGCGGGGACTGCCCGGGAGTGTCAGGGCTCCGAGAGCGACGGGCCCAGTGATGGCCAAGGAAGAAGGCTACGGTCTCTGGGAGAAGGACAGAGCGGTGGGGCACCCCCTCACCCCCAGACAGCGGCTCGCCGTTCGGGAACGGCTCGGAGCCGGGGTTTCAATCGCATGTGGAGCACACGTGTGCCCGGTGTGAGCTGGAATCGGACAAAGTGAACCTGCGCGTGCGTGCTCCGTTCCGTGGGATGCCGCCCCCACTCACGTGCTCGTCGGAGGCGTAGAGGACCTCCATCAGCCGCTGCACCAGGCTGTCGCTCTCCTGGCCCTGCTCCTGGCACAGGAGCTCGATCTCCCGCAGCTTCCCGAAGTAGAAGTCCCGCTCCTTCTCCACGCCCTCCAGGGCCAGCTTCAACGAGTGCACCTGCGGGCGAGGCGCGTCAGACAGACAGTGTCAGACGCGGAGCCCAGGCCACGGACAGACGTGCGCCCCGAGAGCCGCCGCTGTGCACCCGCGGGGGTCACTGTGCGGCCGGCTCTGGGCCCCACGGCCACGGGCACCCTCAGAGCGCAGTCCTTCCCCGGCAGGGAGCGTGTGCGAGTGGGAACTGGGGCCCAGGGTGTCCCACAGGGCTAGAGGGGGAGGAGGGACAGGCAGGGAGGCTGGCACTGTGGTCACTCAGATGTATCCTGAGGACGCTCGTGGCTCCACGGCTCCTGCACGGAGTCACCCTCAGTTCTGGACAAACAGGATAAACGGTCTCTCCTGGGAAGCGGGGTGCTGACCACACAGAGCTGGGTGAGACCAAATCCTGGCGGGCACTGTCCTAGCTCCTCTTGTCCCGGCTTCGTGGGCAATGGGAAGAGATGGCAGCTTGTTCCCTCAGGAAATAGGTCCCCCTCCTGCTCCGCGATGCTGGCCAAGGACTGTCCAGGCCGTGCACCCCACAGCGGTCCGGACAGCGTGCTGGTGACCGGAGGCGGCGACGGGGAGGCAGAGCCATGGCTGTCACGGCTGAGGGAGCACTCGGGGGGGGGGGGGTAAGCAGACCTGGGCTCACCTCCTAGCAGCTCCACTCGGGCCCAAACCATCGCCGTTCCTGCTCCGAGAGCCTCAGAGTCTCTGCCCTTCGCATCCTTCAGGAGGCAGGCGAGGCCTCTGGGGGTGGAACCCCTCCCCGCACGTGGAGACCACCCTCAGCAGAGTTTCTGAGCATGACTGGGGATGGGCCTTTGTCTCCCTTTGCTAAGAGCTGAGCCTCCGTGCACACAGCCAGTCTGTGTGGGATCAGTGACGCGTTCACGTGTCCTCTGAGCACAGGCAGCGTCCACCCTCCCGCACACCCGGCAGGCTCCCACCCATCCTGTGGCACCCAGGGGCGAGCCTGCATCCATCCCAGGAGGCCCAGGACACTGTCCCTCGGGTCAGCTCGCTGGTGCCCCCTGGAGCTGCTCGCCAAGCAGCAGGCACCGATGTGCCAACAGTTCACGCGGCTTTCTCATCCCACTGCTGCTTAAATGCTTAAATGCTGGTAAAAACTGAAGGCAACCAGCAGCCTCAATTCCATGAAAAGGAAACGCCCCTCGTCCTCCAAATCCTGTCTTGCTCTAACACAAACTCCCTCTCTCCTTGGACACATCTGAACGAACAAGGCCTGTGCGCCTCGCGAGCGCGCTCCGGTCTGCGTGATGAGCCAAGAGCCGAGGCTTCGGCAGGGAGACCCGGCCCACGTCAGCCCTGGTGGTGTTCCAGACGCATTAGGTAATGATGCGCAGCTATAAACATCCCCCAGTAAAACCAACAGGAGCTAAATTATACGACGGAAGATCAATCGGCAGCCGGATTCCAGGCTGAAAGTCCCATCATAAAGCCCGGTGCCTCCTGCTCTCTGATGCTCACAGCGCCGCGGGGGAGGGAGACCAGGAAGCAGCCTCTCCCCTCCTCCTTCTCCCCACTCACTGCCTGGGTGCCAGCTCTCTCCAGCAACTCCTGCTTCTTCCAGGGATGTCCCTCCACCCCCACCCCCGCCCCTCATCCTTGGGCTCATTTCTGTGGCTGGATTCGCCCAGCGGTGCTTTCCAGTGTGTGGGAGACGGCCTGAATGCAGGCACGGCCAAGGCCACGGGAGTTCTAGCTCACGGCACCTTCCCCTCCTCCGTTACTACGGCAGTTCACCTCCAGCTCGGCCTTCACCCAGCATTCCCCTCCCGCTGCCCCGGCTCTAACCAGTGGTGCCTGGTGGCTCCCCCCGTTTCCGGGGGGCACCCTGCGAGCTTGGAGCAGCGAGGCACGTGGCCAAGGCGCTCGGGGCTGTGCCACCCGCCTGCCACCTGAGGAGGATGCGTGTGACGGGGAATCCTGTGTGGGCTCCAACGGAGACGCGGCGGGTAACCCGGGCATCCTGAGTCCCCGTTTCTAAATCAAAGCCCGGCCCGGCGATGACTGAAGGCGTCTCCTTTTTCACTGGCGACCAGAATTGTGAAGAAACGCCCTAGTTAGCAACTGTCTGCTTTTAAACCCGGTTCCTGACTGCAAATGGACAATGATCTCAAAAACCACATCCCAGTGATGCCTCTGACGGCTCATGAAGCATTGGATGCATCTCTGGGAACAGCCAGGCACCGTGGGAACCACCGGGGACCGGGATGAAGGCTCCCGTCCAGGGGGCGGAGCAGCCAGGATACAAGACCCTCCTCCTCACTCGGGTCGAAGGCAGGACCCTCCCTACCAATTAATTGCTTTATTACTATTAAAACTTGAAAGACCCACACTGAGAGAGCCCTCCATTTCCGAATTCAGCTCAGCTAGGGAAGCGACCGGTAAACACCGCTGCCTCGATATGGGCAGAGTTTTTTGTTTGAAATGGAGTCTAACCCCTCCCTTAAAGCCACACCCCAGCAGAGTGGTTTCTGTGTGACTTAACAGACAAAATTAGCGCCGTCAGCTAGGAAGTACCCAAGGCCGGGGAGCCAGATTTGCTGGGACCGAGAGGAATATTCTAGGGAAAGACAAGTTCTGCAGAAAAGGCACTGGGCTTTCTGATCAGCCCAGTACTGGGCTCAGCACTCCTGGGGTAACAAGTCTCAGCCACGTGGGAAGTGTCAGGTTGTGGCTCTCGGGTGCATGGTCACCTGCCTGACAGTGCTGTCCGCGTGCTCCACGCGCGGGGGGGGGGGGGGGGGGGGGGGCTGTCCTGCTGCCATCACATTCCCAGCATCACGTGCAGGGTCGGTCACAGAACAAGCCTGACACCGCTGTGAGGAAGAGGAGGGAGACTAGCCCTAACGTCTCGAGGTCAAGGCCGACCGAAAGTGGACAGATAGGAGCCCCCATCTAGTCCACGGCCTAACAGACACTCAGGTGTGCGTGGTGGTGGTGGTGGGGTGGGAACCAGGGGGAGGTGGCCAGCAAACCCACAGTTACCTGGGCCGAGCCATGTGTCCTGCCGTAATGTAGCTGTGAGATTGGTGATGAACCTTGTGTATTCACAACGGGCCCGAACAGTCTCTTTCATTCTGACTCGTTTGCAACCACGGATTCTGCCTCACCTTCCGTGGAGAGCAGCTACAGCATTTGGGCAGGTTCAAGCCTCAGACCGACTTGTGGCAAAGCCCGCCCAACACAAGTTATAGCCAGAAGGCTATGATTGTAACCTTGACCTTATAGTCCCACCCCTCAGTCCTAGGTAGCTAAGGGAGGGGGGCTGCGGGGGCGGGGTGCAGCAAGCGCTGCCTAAACAAAGCTCGATAAGAGTTCAGAGAATGGCAACAGCAGGAAAGAAGCAGATTTGAAATTTGCGAGAACACTGTAAGCATCTTGCCCTTGTTTTGCTTTGTGTGCTCCGACTATAAAATAAAGATTCGGCTTACAGGCTGTGTCACTGTTTCCTCACCCAGGCCCAGTGATCCACCTGGCCCCAACTGTATTCTCGCGTTTGTTTTAACCCTTCACCGTCCGTCCTCAGTTCATCACCACTGGCCGTGCTGGACGCGGTTCAACCTTCCCTCCCCCTCACACCTGTCACGCTCCCACAGACGGGGCCAGGGAGTAGAATGTACCTGTTCATTCAGCTGTAGGACCTGTGTCTCCAAATCTTTGTCCGATTTGGATGCCGAGCCGCTGGATGAAGCCCTTTTGGCTGACGAGGGACGAGAAGGGGTGGAGCCTGGTTTAGATGCTGGACTGGACTTAGCTGCACCTGAAAGCAAGCAGAATAAATGATAAAAATTGGCAACGTGAAAATGCTGTGTAGACACAGAGCAAATGGACGATTTAGGGGGAGTTTGCTAACATGTCTAAGAGGCACTGGCAGGGACCCCTGCCTGAAGCAGACGTAGCTCAGACGCTCGTAGGAAGGACACACGGTAAAAGGCAGTGTTGTCTGAGGCAGCTTTCACTCCTCTGGGCACTGGGTGTGCAGGGCCTTCCCCGTCCGGCAATGCGAGGCCAATGCATGTCCTTTTCCCTCCAGAGAGGGAAGAGGAGCAGACACAAAGGATTTTAAGCTTTTTTTTTTTTTTTTTCCCTAAGAGGAAAGGTTTTCAGATCAGCTTATATAGTAGCACTACCAACCAAGAAAAAGACGTTATACCCGATGAACACTTTAGAAGAAATATTAGCACCGTATTTCCTGGCTTTCGTCACGGAAAGAGCACGGGGACAGCGATACCTCTGTGCAGCAGGCACCCTGGTGCCCAGGTCCTGCTTTCTAACTGTTCCTCTGCGGCAAAGGCTCCTGAGAAATGGCTGGCTGCTGGGCGCAGGGCGCGGGACTGTGTGTGGAAAGCAGGGTGTCAGGCTGCGGGGCCAGCTGGGGACCCCCACGAGCCACACGCGGGACAGTGTGCGTACAGAACCCAACAGAGGCTGCCGCGTGCTGGAACGCACGGGTCACACGGACGTCTAGTTACCGGGGGAAGGACGCCCGGAGAGACCTCGATAGGACACTGACCGAGAGGAAGCGTCAGAACTCGGAAAAGCACAGACTGGCAACGGGTTCAGGAAAGGCTCCTCCGCGGTCTGAGATGTTTTGGGGAGTAAGTCACACGTGTCGAGGTATCCCCTCTACATTACTTCTGTTACAGGGAAAGCACACGCCTTTACAGTGGTGGGACCGGAGGGCCAGCACCCTAACCAAGTGGTTCCACAGCATCCCTACTAATGCTGTAAATTGGAAAAAAAAAACAAAATCAACAAAAAAAGGCACTGATTTCAGGCCAGACCTCACCCCTTGGAGCTGGGCTCACACGCTCCCTCTCTGCCGGACCTCGGCCCGGACACGGACGTGACCTCGCAGCCCAGCAGCCGGGACAGGGACATGAACGAGGCTTCTGTCCTGCAGGATTCAGACACTCGGGCCCTCGCCGGGCCCACCCCCTTGCTCTGAACTCATCCTGACGTGGTGGCATCAGTGGGATCGCGCTGGCCGAGGTGCCCCTCCTGTGCCTCACCCCCAAATCTCCATCCCCCCACGCTGATGTCTCTGAAGGCCGGATGGGGGTTGGGGGGCAGGTGGGAGAAGGCAGGAACAGGCCCGTCAGCTCTGCAGGGCTTGGCGGGGCGCCTCTTTGTTGAAGGAACAAATGAAATAAATACATAAACAAGCGAGTAAACCTGGTCAGGAGGCTTACAGTTCCACCTTTGTTTCCGACTTGCAGTGATCAGTAGCGGCAGAGGGCTGCAGAGGGTTATAAGGTGCTGACGGCGGTTAACAAATCCCAAATTCGCTCTTACTAGTGATCGCAGGTAGGAGCAGGAGGCTGTGAAGCGCGGGTCGGCGTGTCTCCGGGGCTGGAGCCATTAGTCACGGTGAGAGAATGCGCCCTCGAGAAGCGGCAGTGTCTTGCCCGGTGGATCTCAGTGACAGACGCCTGACTGGTTTTAAACGGGAGCGTCACGGGGAGGACCGGAGACGGTTTTGATGCTCAGGGTGACCAGCCTGCAGTGACCTGACGTGCACCTGCGCAGCCGAGGCCTCTGGGAGCCACGTTCGTGCGAGGACCCCCCCTCTCTGTGGCCCCACAGAGGCTCCCGGGACTCCGTATCCCCGGCAGCGGCCAGGTTCTCCGCCCGAATGCAGGCCCGGGGAGGAGACGGAGGAGGGGGCAGGGTGGGAGCACGCCTGCAAGGAGCCCTCCACCTGCCACTGAGCCGGGGAGGCAGATTCCGAAAAGCCAAGTTACTTCAGCCCTTTCTAGAAGTCAGCCAGGTGGAGGTGATGGAAGGACTGGGGCACCAGTCCTCCAAGTGGGAGCCCAGCCCAGACACCAGGAGGCCAGGTCCACCCCAGGCATGGGGGCACCTGGCGCAAAGACTCCTTCCTCAGAGGAGACGGCATTTCCCCACGGGACGGGCCAGGGCAGGAGTCCCCTCACTCGTCCCGGCCTCCCTGAGAGAGAGCTGAGCAAGGACCCTCGGGGGTGAGAGGCTGCCTGGGCAGCCGGAGGAGAGGTCTGAGAGGTGCCGGAGGTCACGGCGGACAGCAGGGCACGCACAGGGCACCACCGGGGGTACGTCCCGGGGGAACCTGCTGCAGCCTGAGCAGAGGGCTGGCTCTGGCGGAAGGCTCCCTCTGCAGCCTGCGGGACACCCGGACAGGTAAGGACGGGCGCGCTGGCCAGGCAGGAGGCCCTGCGGCCACCCCCTGGGTGTGGGCAGTGAGTGCTCCACACAGGTATGTTTTGGGTGAAGCAGAGCTCAGAAAACCCTAACGTGTACCCCAGGAGCAGGCACCCCGTGTCCAGCTGCTGTGCACAACCTGCATTTGTAACCTCAACAGCCATCAGGACATCTGTGTTCAGTGCAACAGCTACTGCCTCCACGGAGAGGGGAGGAAAAGCCGCAGTGACCACACTGTGCATCACGGGCGTCCCTCCCGTCCACTGCTGTCCACTGCTCGAGGGACATTACCAGAACGACTAGCTCTGAGCACCCGGAGTCAGGGCCTCAGAGGGCGTGGCTGCCACTGCAGCACAGGCCTGTGTGCCTGGTGACCCCGCCTCCAGCATGGCCAGCCAGCGTGAGCCTTCGGGGCAAGTTCCTCCTGTCCTGGTTACTGTCCCTGCTGGAGAGATGTGCTTATTTTTAGCCATCATGTGATTCTCCAGTATTTTCCATCTCTGCTTGAGTCACTCTGGTTTCAGACTGTTTTTCATTGGGGAGTTGGGGGGGGTGGTGGTTAGAGGAGTAAAAAAAAAAAAAAAAAAAAACAGGAAAGAACTCCTCATTTTGAAATGGCTCAAGTGTTAGAAATTCTTTTAACCGTTCCTTGGTCATGCGGGTATTCCTCTTGATAAATTGATTGCACACCCCTCATGTCTTGGTGGAAAAGTAAGTGTGCTTGAGGACGCGTTAGGTGCCAGCCAACCACCATCTTAGTTCAAAAGTCTTGTTTTTAAGTTGTCCTCGGAGCAATGTCTTTCTCGGAATGGCGGGGACCCTCACCCGGGGAACACCACGCTGTGGAACCCCGACAGTAAGCAGGGTGCGCCCTGGCGCGCTCGCTGCAGCACTGAGGAGAGCGCCAGCACATGGAGCCAGCCACCGAGACCACGCTCAGGAGTGACGACGACACCGGCAACCTGGCATCACTGTCCTCCCGGCGTACGGCAGTCCTTTAGGCAAAAAGCTTACACCCCCAGATGGCCATGTTGGGGGAACATGAGTCCTCAATTACTTTACGATGTCCCGAGTCCCTACCGATTCACCACTGACGTAGTAAGTCTGTTGTCCCCATTAACACTGTCTTACCCAGACTCCCTTGCAAAGAGAGATGTGGTCAGAGGCCACAGTGCCGGTTGGAGCACAGGCACCGGAGAGCCTGAACCGCCCGCCTGGAGTCACCGCCTCTCTCCTCCGCTCCAGGCGGCTCCTGCTCCGGCGTTTTCTGCTTCCACCGGCCACGGAGCCGCTGCCTGGGACGCACCCTTGGCTTCTCTTGCCTTTGCTCTCACGCCCCATCCCCATCGGTTTTGTGGATGCCACCTCTTTAATGTCTCCACCACCCACATGGCCGCACCTCTAGCTAGGCCACCCTCCTCTCCTACAGGGTTTGCTGCGACAGCTTCTTCGCGAGTCTTCTGGATCGGCTAAGTTCTCTACACCACGGAGCACATCTGTGCTTAAACCTTCCCAGGACTCCCCACAGTCCCCATGATGAATTTGAAACCTCTGTGACCGACAGAGCCTATGGTGGAGGCCCCCACCCCCCCCAAACACACACACAATGGTCTCTACCTCCTGGTGCTCCCACCGCTTTGTGGTTCCCTCTCCTATAGTGTGAGTGGGACCTGTAACTTGCTTTTAACCAACAGAATATGGCAGAGATGATGGTTATGGAACTGTACATATGACTGCTTCCCCGGCATACACACTGGAGAGACTCTCCCTGCTGCCCCGGGAGAAGCAAGCTGCCATGTAGTAAGTACCGAAGCCAGAAAAAGCCACAGGACGAGGCGGCCTCTGGAACCCAGGCCAGCTGCCTGTAAGAAACAGAAGCCTCAATCCTTCAGCTTCAGAAAACTGCCAAAAACTTAAAGGAGCTTCCCCGGTTGAGCCTCTGATGAGACCATATCCGTTGAGCCCCAGCAGATACCTGAAGTGCAGCCTAGTGAGACTCTAAAGCAGAGAACATGGCTAAGCTGTGCCAGGGCTTTAGAAGCTGTAGACAGATGTGTTTTAAGTCGACAGGTCTGTAGTAACTGTCTTGGCAGCAACAGACTATAAATATGACCTCTCAACCCGTTATACAAGGGCCCTGCTCACCTCTGCAGCCTCACGTCTCAGAGTTCATACAAAGTGCACTTCACCGAATAGAGCACGTTCTCTCTCAACTTCAACATGCTGCTGCTGCTCCTGCTTGCAGTTGTCCTTCCATCCCCTCCACCTGGCTGACTTCTACTCATTCATTAAGTCTTGGTCATACCTCATTTACCACCCCCCCCCAAATCCTTTCTAGAATACACACAAGACCAGCTCACGTGGTCTTCCTACACAGCTCAGCAGCACTCACCTCACTTTACTGTTATTATCTGTGTTTTAAAATATTTTTTATTGATTTTTTTTTTTTTTTTTTTTTTTTTTTACAGAGAGGAAGGGAGAGGGATAGAGAGTTAGAAACATCAATGAGAGAGAAAAAGATCAATCAGCTGCCTCCTGCACACCTCCTACTGAGGATGTGCCTGCAACCAAGGTACATGC